TTTAAAAAAAAAAAAAAAAAAAAAAAAAAAGAAAAAGAAAAGTCCGATCCATGGTATTTTCTGTTAGAACCTTTCATTGCAGAGCACCACTGGCTGTTCTGTCGTCTCTTAACTGAAAGATTTTCTACTACTACTACAAGTATTTCGTATGCTACTAGATCTACATCATATCACCGAACATGTTAAACTTATTGCCACTTTCCATTCGTCAATATTCATGAAAATCTTAATTATCAACTCACTATAAAATGTGAACAAAAACAAGTTAAAATAATTTCCTAACAGCTTACTTGAAAAAAAAAAGAGAAGGCAAAACAGCCACTAACTTATGAAGATCTTAGTACTACAGTACTCGAATTGAACAGCGCTCTCGTTCTTTCCTGTGGGTATTTTGTTACTCTTTTCACGCGCCCATCAATGTTTCTACGGGGCGCCAGTTTGACCGGAAATGAGGCCCATTGTCCAGTTTTGGTATTCTTCAGTCTTGGGTTTTTCTAAGTAAACTATTCTTGGTCTCATTAATCCTGCCTCTCTTGCCCTCTATTTGTCCAATGAGAGCAAGACCTTCAAGGCCTTTATGTCGATTGAAGGCAACCCCCCCCCCAAAAAAAAAAAATAATTTTTTTTTTAAATCGCCCGAAAATGTGAGTTGTATGTAGTACGCGTGAAGTGTGCGTCTTTGGCAATTTGAACTGTCCTTTCTGGAGAAATGACCGTTACGTGTTGGCCAGCCCCGTCTGTTAATTCTCGGACAGCGGAACGTGAGCAATCTGATTGGCTGGCTCAGACCACGTGATTCACTTACTTGTGTGAGGGCACGCAGAGCAAACTCCGGAAAATGGACGAGGTTGGTCAGGGTTTTAACATCTCTCTCTCTCTCTCTCTCTCTCTCTCTCTCTCTCGCACTCTTTCGCTGTCTTTCTTATTCTCTATTCTCTTAATCTCCCACTCTCTCTCTCCGTCTCTCTCTCCCTGTCTGTCTCTCTGTTTCTATGTTTCTCTGTCTCCCTCTGTCTCCCTCCCTCTCTCTCTCTCTCTCTCTCTCTCTCTCTCTCTCTCTCTCTCTGCATATGGTCATATGAGCGTGCGGAACACATGAACAATTTTTAGTTTGGTAGGAATTAATTTTGAATGTTGCCCGGGTGGCGGCCGAAGCCTACTCTTATCGATTTTGGACTACCAATGGATCTTTAATTTGTGCAACGTGCCCACGGGACTCCGATATTTTTTTAGCCCTTATTCGATAAGACTAGGTGTTAGATCTAATACCTATCCTAAAAGAAAGCAGTAAGAAGGAGCCAAGGAGTAGCAGTAGAAAAGCTGCAGAAAGTTGCGCGCTGTCACAACTACATCCGTGGTATTTTCCGTGAGCTCAATGTATCTAAGCACTCAAATTCATAAATACGTAATCTGTGTCGATGGTGGCGTAAAATATTTGTGATAAAATAAGATGTTTGCAAAAGAACTATTCGCCAGCACAACAACACATAAACAGTAATAGAACTTTTATTATTTTGAAAAAATAGTTTGCAATCTCATTATTCACCGATCGTCCAACGTAAATAGCTATTTCTCATCAAGTTTTATGACAACGAATGCGACAAACTGAATCCCCATCAAAAACACCCCCC